CACAGGCAGGGACACCTCCCACTAGCCCAGGTTGCTCCAAGCCCCCTCCAACCTAACCTTGGACACTTGCAGGGATCCAGGGGCAGCCACAGCTTCTCTGGGCAACCTGTGCCAGGGCCTCCCCACCCTCACAGCCAACAATTCCTTCCCAATCTCCCATCTATCCCTGCCCTCTGGCAGTGGGAAGCCATTTCCCCCTGTCTTGTCCCTTCATCCCTTGTCTCCTGGAGCCCCTTTAGGCCCTGCAAGGGGCTCTCAGCTCTCCCTGGAGCCTTCTCTTGTCCAGGTGAACCCCCCCAGCTCTCCCAGCCTGGCTCCAGAGCAGAGGGGCTCCAGCCCTGGCAGCATCTCTGTGGCCTCCTCTGGACTCTCTCCAGCAGCTCCACGTCCTCCCTGTGCTGTTCCCAGGGTTGGAGGCAGCTCTGCAGGGGGGTCTCACCCGAGGGGGCAGAGGGGCAGAATCCCCCTGCCCTGCTGCCCACACTGGGGGATCAGCCCAGGGCATGGGGGGTTCTGGGTGCCAGGACACATGGGTGGGGCACATCCAGCCCCAAACACAGCAGCACCCCAAAGTCCTTCACCCCCCAGTGCTGAGCAGATACAGGAGGAGGAAACAGGAGCACAAGGCAGGCTCAGGCCTCTGGAGCAACAGCTCTGCCCTGAGAACACTCTGGTGACACAGAATCTAGAACTGGAAAAAGTTTCCCTCCTCATTTTGCTCCTCCTGGATATTCCCTCAAACCATCACAGCCCCCCACGGGCAGGACAGCCCAGGCTGGTGGTGGGGGTATCCCTCACTCTTGCTTTGGGTGATGCAGTACGATTTGACAACAGGGCTGGGCACTGACAAAGCACCAAACCCAAGTTAGAGCCACAGTACAACCCCCAAAATCTACCCATTTACTCCTCCTTGGGCAGTGTCAGGCAGTCCCCGAGGCTGCAGAGCACAGCAGGGCTTGTTGAGGAGTGCTCAGCTCATTCCAGCACTCAGGAAGACGCATTTATTGACCACAGAGGCCTCCTTTCCTCAGCAAGTACAAGTTGTACTCGTGTACAAGTACAAGGTTGTACTTGTGGTCTAATTAGCTGAGGTGTGACCTCATGATGACCTGGGAGCCCTTGGGGCTTCCTGGGGCAGTGTCACGTAGGAAATCATGTGGCACCTGAGATGGACCAGGAATGATTCCACAGAGCACGGATACAGCAGTTGGGGATAAACTGCCCATAACTGCTTGCACAGCAGTACAGCCACTGCTAAACTGTTCTACAGCCAGAAATATCTCTTCTTTTAAAAGAGCATCTTCTGAGTACTTTCTGTCCTGTGTTCATGCTTTGCAGTTCTTTATTGCTTCTATTTTAGGGTGGTTTCTCCAGTTTGTCGATGACTTACCGCATTCCATAGGATACATTAATTTCCTCCTGCAGAAAGCACCTCTCAGGTGCTGTTCAACTCCCCAGCTCCATGCTGTCAACCAAATAAAGCCCTTTGGGCCTCAGGGAATGTCCCAGGAGAATCCTCAAACCAGGGCAAACCACATATGTGTCAGCTGACGGAAGCCTGTTCCAGGGATGGGGTGTTATACACAGATACAGTGATGCTGGGGCTCAAAGATTCCCTGCTTTCTCACTCAGGATCCTTCTCACTCAGGCCCCAGGTGCCTGCAGGGATCTGATCTTGTTTTGTGTTTCAGAGGAAGTGCAGAACGGAGGAGGAAATTGAGAACTGGATCCAGAAATACGACACAGACATGGCAGCAAAACAGGTATTGGCTCTAAACTGCTTTGCTCTGCCATCAGGGAATTTGCTCAGGTAGATTCCTGTCCAAATGGACATGTGGCTCTTACCCAGGAAGCCATGGAAGTGACAGACAGATCTCCATCCAGATGAACTGCAGGAAAGGGATCTTTGTCCTGCTTATGTGTCCAGGAGTTCTCTGCTCCCTTGGTTTTAGGAAAAGCTACATCCACTACTAAATCACACAGTATTTGGGGGCCTATGGGTTGCCACGTTCTTTCAGGCACGTCCACCACATGCCAGGGAGCAGGTTTTTCAGGTTTGCTCCAATCCTCAATCCTCATGGCTCTATCTGGTGCCCAAATCCCGCTCCTGTTCCTGCTAGATCCTTTAGAGATGTGCTGGGTGCTAAGGAACCCAACAGCCTGCACCCAACTGAGCCATAACAGCCTGAGGGTCACATGAGCACTCCCAAACCTCACCTCTGGGAAGGCCTTGGTGGCTTCCCTGTTCCTGCACTATTTATGGGGATGGATAAAAGCTGCTGGACTCCAAACTGCAGGGAGGGGCCTGAAAGCTGCTGCTAATTGTAAGGAATGATTCCCCCGGTCAGGTGTTTAATAATGGGATTATTTTGGTTTCCTGTCTGTGGGGAGGCAGGAGCAGGTTTGGGGTAGAATTTGTCAAGGCAGACACCCCCCCCACTGTTCTCAAATATTCCATTGTGGGAGGATTTTTCAGAAGAACATGAAGATACTGGGACCCAGCATCTCATGAAATTCTCTGGGTACTGGGCACATGTTTCTTTTTGAATCCCTTTGGAAAAGCTCAGCTCAGCTCCCTGTTGTGGTCCTGCAAGGGTTTGGGATGGTTTTCAGGACCCTTGGGGGTGTACAGGGGGGAGCTGAACTGCTGTACCTGCCAGGCCACGTTCGAGGCGATTCACGCTGTCTACACCGAGGAGAAGGCCCAGCTGGCCCAGCTGATGGAGAAACACGCTCTGCTGCTCCAGGAGTATTCCCAGATTGAGGAGGAGCGCAAGATGCTTAAGCAGAAGGAGGAGGAGGAATTGCAGGAGCAGGCCAGGAGGAACCGTGCTGCCACCCGCATCCAGGCTGCCTGGAGAGGCTACGTGGTGCGGTCCTTCTTCAAGGCAAAGCTGAAAAAGGCCAGGGCCAAGGCCAAGGGCAAGGGAGGCAAAAAATAAAGCCCCAAATCCCTTCTTTGCCCCAGCAAAGCTGCTGGGTCTGAGCTCTTCCAGATAAAAACATTAAACTGTTAAGTTTGGAAAAGACCTTTAACATGATTAAGTCCAACCACCAACCCAGCACTACCGTGTTCACCACTAAAATATGTCCTCAAGTGCTACATCCACATGTTTGTTTGAACACTTCCAGGGATAGTGACTCTACCACTTCCCTTGGCAGTCTGTCCCAGAGCTTTAGAGCCCTTTCCATGATAAAAGGTTTCCTAATATTTCATATAAAGATCCCCTGGCACAACTTGAGGCTGATTCCCCTCATTCTGTCAAGTCCTGGCTGTGTGGATTTGGGAGCCCGTGTCCCTTTCCACAGGAGGAAGCTGCAGGACTGTGAGTGAGTGACATGAGTCCTGCCTGGGCACCATCCTTGGAGTCTGCAGTTTTCAGAGGGTGGGATGTGGCACAGCCCAGCTCAAGCCGTGTTCCCAATCCTGCAAGCCACTCCCAAAGCTAACTGCAAGCTGGGAGCAAACAGCCTTTTGGATCCAGCCTCCCAGTGACATTTCTTTACCTGTGGCCCTTCCTGGCAGCCTCCCTTCCCAGGAGAGGGCAGTGGCAAGGGCTACAAAGCCCAAATAGTCTCCATGATCAGGTGAGGCCACTCTCTCCTCTGACAGGGCCAAGGGAGGTGTGTTCCCTTCCTTGCAGCCACAGAAGATGCCAGGATCTGGGAGACTTTGAGATGTTGGTACCCACGTGGGCAGTTTGGGGTGTAGGTACATCTCTCCAGGGAATCTTTGGTTCCAAACACCAACAGCTCTAGAGTTTCTGGGAAAAGATTGTTCAGCCTGGAGAAGGGAAGGCTCCATGGAGACCTTGGAGCCCCTTCCAATGCCTAAAGGTGCTCCAGGAGAGCTGGAGAGGGACTTGGGACAAGGGCCAGATCCCGAGGTTTGGAGCACAGTGCCCGCACTGGAGATTTCACATGGCTGGGGAAGCCCCCTCACCCTCCCTGCACCCTGCAGGGCTGCATGTGCAGGTGATGGGTGAGAATAATGGGATCAGTGGGATCAGGGTGGATTAGGGAGATCAGGGAAAGGTGATCCCCAGGCTGGGGGGGCAGGAAAGGAAGGGCAGAGGATAGAAGAGGAAAGAGGGAAGGGAAAAAGGAAGAGAAGAGAGAAGGGAAGGGAAGGTTTGGGAAGGGAAGGTTTGGGAAGGGAAGGTTTGGGAAGGGAAGGTTTGGGAAGGG